ACTGTGTGATACAGAGTGTTGGACTGGATGGGCCTTTGGCCTGATCCAACATTGGCATCTCTTATGTTCTTAATGCAGCAGGTTTTGGGAAGGACCTTTATCTCCTGGACAGCTGCAATCCTGAACTAGATGGACCAGTCTTAAGGCAGTTTCACATGGTCACATGCTTATTTCCTGAATGCACAGCTGTGCTAAAGAAAACCGGCTACAAAATGAGAGCCTTTGTGATAAGAGCAATTCAGAAGTACAGCATCTGGCTAAGGACACATTTTAAATTGGGGTCTTACCTGCAGGAATTCATTTGTTGGCTGCTTCTCCTTCTTTTCCACATCGCCAATCAGAGCAGTGATGCCAGACAGTTCATCCACAAACTTGCTGGCATAATCATCTCTTTTCCTCTCAATCTCCTTTTCTAGGCCCCTCAGCTTGGACAGCTGGAGTTGCTCTTGTTGTTCCATAAACTGCCGCTGTTGTTGGAATCCAGACACAATCTCCTGTCTCTTGGCTTGTGTCTCCTTCTGTAATGGGTACATATGAATGAAGCAGGTTAGTTAAGGCCCTGCACGGTCAATGTACTGCTCAGTCTACAGCTCAGTTCCAGTGTTCCCTCTAAGCTGAGTTAGTGTGAGCTAGCTCACAGTTTTTTAGCCTCCAGCTCACACATTTTTGTTTTAGCTCAGGAAGGATGGCTCCAGAGCAAACTAATTTATGCAATAGCCAAATTGCTTGCTCACAACTTTAATGCCAGTAGCTCACAAAGTAGAATTTTTGCTCACAATACTCCATAGCTTAGAGGGAGCATTGCTCAGTTCCATCTAATACCTGGAATGAAATGGACTTGAATTAACTGAGCTTACATACCAGTCACTTGAGGAAAATGTAGGAAAAAATCATATGCATGCATGAGTTGTAACAAAATCAGTCACCCGGAGGAGTCACAGACATACAAATATTGCAGCTGCAGCAGGTGGGATATCAATGTATCAACTGGTTTAGATGAGACCATTTTAAAAAATATATATTTTATTAATTTTAAACTTTATACAAATAACAATAATTCCTAATACAATATTACAATAAGAAAAGTTAACTTGTATGTCTTTTACAAAGTTGAAATAAAATTTAGTTTAATTTCAATTATAAATTTAAAATATCTTCTGGTACCGTACTTCTTTTTGAGATTGTAGATATTCTATTATAGGCGACCATACAGTATATCCTATTTTGCTTTTTTCATAAGATACATGTTGTATAGACCAGGTGATTTTATCCATTAGATATAATTGCCATATATTTTTAAACCAGTTGTTCATAGAAAAATTCGTTTCTGACTTCCAATTTTGCGCTATTACCAGTTTCGCAGCATATAGTAAAAAAGCTATTCTAATATCATTTAACAAAGATGTCTGCAAGTCTTTTCTAATATTTAGTAAAATTACTTCAGGTACAAAAGGTAAGGTAACTTGTGTAATATTTTTAATAGCTTCTAGAACCTTTTCCTAAAAAAACTTTAACTTAGTACAATACATCCAACAGTGTAAATATGTTCCTCTATCATCACAATTTCTCCAACATGTAGGATTAACATTATTAATATGTGCTAGTTGGACTGGTGTTAGATAAAAAACGTTAATATTTTAAAATGTAATAAACGGATTGAGATCACTGAGGATTTATATTCATACATATTCCATATCTCATTCCATATTTCATCTTTTATTTGAGTATTCAGTAATTTGTTCCATCTACGCGGGGGTGCAAGTATCTGTATTAATTTTGATCTATTTCCTTTCTTGGTAATTTCGCTTTTATTGAGTAGCTGTTCAAAGTTCGTGAAAGGTTGTTTAAATAATTTCTCTAACTGAAGTTGTTTACATAAATGAGTTATCTGGAGATACTGAAACCAGTTCGTTGTAATTTCTAGCTTTTTGTCCAGATCCTTCTTTACTATAATTTTGTTATTTATTATTAAATCTTTCAATTTGGTTATCTTTGCTGTTTTCCAATTTTTATAATTTTTGTTGTATTGACCTAGTAAAAACCAGTGTTGTCCTATAAATGTTCTAAAACGTGTTAGATGAGACCATTTGTCCATCTGGTAGAATACTATCTACTGTGAGATAATACAGTGGCTCTCCAAGAAGGAGGGGAGAGAAGGGATTTGGAACTCCAGCCAGCTACTGTAAGACCTTATAACTGAGCTTCTGCCCTGCTCCCTTCTTGCAATAATCATTGTAAACCTCAGCTGGCCCAAAGGCAAGAACCTGAGGGCTGTAAACTGGAGCTGTGAAGAAGATCTGCCAGGAGAGTATGAAAAAGATCTGCCCTGCACTTGGCAGCCTCCCCCTTATCCTACTTGTTTATACTGTATTTTTGAATTGGGATCCACTTTGGGCCCCATTGGGGAGAAATCAATATACAATTGCTTAAATAAATAAAATAAACTTGAGGCTGGTGTCTTTCTTTAAGATCTTTTTAAATGGGATGGCATGACTTGGAAAACAAGGTTGGAAATGTAGCAGCAACAACATTTCCTGCTACGTCAGTACTAGTAAAGATGACCTTTAAAGAATAGATGTCTCTCCCTGTTTATGCTTTTCATCTGGGGATGTTAAAAAAGGGCAAATAAAACAGACCCCAGATATTGCCCAGTGCCCTGATTTTACAGGGATGGAGCAATTCATTAATCATCATCATCATCATAAACAACTAGTAATCAAAGCTCCCCCAAAAGCCATCCAAGTGACTCTGCACTCTGGCCATACCTAAACAAGGGAGGAAGGGAGACCACAACAGCAAATCTCCAGAAAAAAGGGGGGAGAAAAAGGGAATCAGACCAAGAGCTTTGGAAGAAACAGAAGCTCCACACTTCGGTAAATGTAGAAATAATGCAGAAATAATGTAAAAATAAAATAGGGTGGAAGAATCCACTCAATCTTCTCACTACACAGCCAAAAAAAGGGAGATGGATGTTTGACACAAAAGCCAAGATAAAGGGAGGAAGGAAGGATTGGGGCAAGGAGCAAAAGAATAGCTGAGTGTGATTGGGCTAGCTAAGTACGAGCGTGGCTGGGCCAGACCAAGCAGAAGCAAAGTGGGGCAATCCAAATAGGTACACAGGACAAAGTAGAACCATAACATAGAGATGAGTATCACCATAGAGATAAGAGTATAACCATAAAATAGAGATAAGAGATAAAGCCCTCAAATAATGAAACACTAAATAATTAGATTGATATATGAAAGGTTACTATAGTTAATGTAAGTATGATATAATATAACAATGTAAATTAAAAAGTTAAAAGTTAATAAAAGAAATAGGCCAGCAGCTATGTACAACTCCCGCCCCCCCAAATTAATAAGCGAGGGGTGGGAGAAAGGAGTTGTTGCCGCGAACAAGTTAGCAAATCCGGCCAAGGCTGAAAGGCATAGATAAAATAAACAGGAAAAGGATAGGAAAGGGTTAAAAAAAACCCTACGTCTCAGTAGAAATTATTATATATGGAACAACAGGGAAGAAGTATAATACCCCAGATAAGAACTTAAAAGTGGAAAAAATGAAGGGGAAAAATAGAGTAAAATAAAACAAAAGCTCTAAGAGTGGAGCACAGCCTTGAGCATCTTCATCTCGCTTACCAATAACTCCTGGCTTGGCTTTTCTCCATTTGATTTAGCTGACTGAATCTTGTTTCTTTCTTTCTTCAGATTTTCAAGATGCTTCAGCAGCGTCTCCTAAGAGGAAAAAAATAATAATGTATCATTGTTAACTGTCCTTTTTTCATATTTTATTTTATAAATTTTCCATATAAACTGCATACAGATATAAATCTCAATGAAAATCAACTTCAATAATACAGATCTCTACAACAAGGTAAGTACATTTTATGAGACATTCTATTAGTAGAAATCCTGTTTCAAATACTGATCTATAAAAATGCAGAATAATTAAACTTAAACTATTACCCTGTTTCCCCGAAAATAAGACAGTGTCTTATATTAATTTTTGCTCCCAAAGATGCGCTAGGTCTTATTTTCGGGGGATATCTTATTTTTCCATGAAGAAGAATACGGTACACTCCGTCAGGGCTACCGTAACTTTGGACTCTGGGCCGTAGCGGCGGGCGCCACCGTGCAGCTCACTGTTGGCCGCCGTGCAGCCAGAGCAGACAGGAAGTGCAAGGTCTCTTTTAATCAGAGAGCCCGCGCTGCTGCCAGGACAAGCTGCCGCCTGCTGCTTGCTCTAGCTTTGGGGGGCCTTATTATCAGGGAGGCCTTATGTTCAGGGGAGGCCTTCTTATCGGGGAGGTCTTGTTTTCGGGGGAATGCCTTATATTTCAGCGAGAGGCAAAACTGTAAGTAGGTCTTATTTTCGGGGGATGTCTTACTTTCGGGGAAACACGGTAAACACAAAACTGACACATGAGTTGACATATGGACAGGGTAACTGTATAGCTTAAAATATCGCTATGATTTCTTTATAATTTAAAGGAATTGAGGATGTAGAAGCAGAAAGTTTTGAAAGCGAAGTTTCCATAAAATCTAACCATTTTGTAAAGAATAGGGAATGTTTTTTGTCAGTTGCCCCAGGTTTTACAGAGATATTTATTTTTTCTAGGGCATAGTATTCCCAAACCTTCATGTACCATTGGTGAAGAGTAAGTGAGCTATTGCTTTTCCAATTACTAGTAATTACCGCCTTGGCAGCCATCAGTAAAGTTGAGATTAAGTCCTTACGTATTGCAGGAATATTAACATCTTGCCATAAGTCTAACGTGTTATTGTACTAATAGTGTTTTTTATTAATGACCAGAATTCTTTTATTGCTTTGCAGGACCACCAACAATGTATAAAGTCAGCTTGTTCTCCGCACCCTCTCCAACACAAAGGTGAGTATTCTTTGTTGATACGGTGTAACTTTAAAGGGGTATGTATGATACCAACATAGGTTCGTGACATTGTACAGGAGGCAGCAATCACCACCATACCAAAGAAAAAGAAATGCAAGAAAGCAAAATGGCTTTCTGATGAGGCTTTACAAATAGCAGAGGAAAGAAGGAAAGCGAAAGGCAAAGGCGAAAAGGAAAGATTTACCCAACTGAACGCAGATTTCCAGAGAACAGCAAGGAGAGATAAGGAGGCCTTCCTGAATGAACAGTGCAAAGTAATAGAAGAAAACAATAGAATGGGAAGGACTAGAGATCTCTTCAAGAAAATTGGAGAAATCAAGGGAGCGTTCCATGCAAAGATGGCCATGATAAAGGACAAAAACGGTAGGGACCTAACAGAAGCAGAAGAGATTAGGAAAAGATGGCAAGAATACACAGAAGAACTATACAAGAAAGACCTCGATGTCCTTGACAACCACGACGGTATAATCACTGACCTCGAGCCAGACATCCTGGAATGTGAAGTTAAATGGGCCTTAGAAAGCATTACTAACAACAAAGCTAGTGGAGGTGATGGTATCCCAGCTGAGCTATTCAAAGTCTTAGAAGAGGATGCTGTTAAAGTTCTGCACTCCATTTGCCAGCAAATTTGGAAAACGCAACAGTGGCCACAGGATTGGAAAAGATCAGTATACATTCCAATCCCAAAGAAGGGCAATGCCAAGGAATGTTCAAACTATCGCACAATTGCACTCATATCACACGCTAGCAAGGTCATGCTCAAGATCCTACAAGCTAGGCTTCAACAGTAAGTATAAAAACGTATCCTGTGCATGGCCTTATTCTATATGTATTGCAAAAGCAATTTTTGCCATTGTTTTAGTAGTGTAGATGGGATTAGTATTGGAATGGCCCGAAAAAGGTAAAGAAATTTGGGGAAAATAAAGGTTTTTAGAACTTGGATTTTCTCTATCCACGTGAGTAGAGGAGATGCTGCTGCTTGAGCAAGTTTACTTAGCGTTGTGGCCACTATTGCATGGTTGTAGTTTATTAGTTCAGCTAGGTTTAGCGGGATAATAATTCCTAGATATTCCCATGACTTTTTGGTCCAGCAAAAGTTATAGTTTTGTTCTATATAAGATCGTTGTTGTTCTTAAGAACATAAGAACATAAGAGACGCCAATGTTGGATCAGGCCAAAGGCCCATCCAGTCCAACACTCTGTGTCACACAGTGGCCAGAAATACCAGTGCCATCAGGAGGTCCAGCAGTGGGGCCAGGACATTAGAAGCCCTCCCACTGTTGACCCTCCCCCCAAGCACCAAGAAGACAGAGCATCACTTGCCCCAGAGCCCCCAGCTATACCTTGTGGCTAATAGCCACTGATGGACCTCTGCTCCATATGCTTATCTAATTCCCTTTTGAAGCCGTCCATGCTTGTAGCACCCACCACTTCCTGTGGCAGTGAATTCCATGTGTTAATCACTCTTTGGGTGAAGAAGTACTTCCTTTTATCCGTTCTAACCCGACCGCTCTGCAGTTTCATGGAGTGCCCACGAGTTCTTGTATTGTGAGAAAGGGAGAAAAGTACCTCTTTCTTTACCTGCTCTTTCCCATGCATAATCTTATAATAATTCTTCTAGCAAAATTGGGTATAATACAGATTTGGAGTTGTTCTCTGTTGATCCTATTCCCATATTTCTCTAATGTATTGAGAATTTCAGGTATGGATGTCTCCGGATTCGTCATAAGAACTGCCATATCATCAGTGAATAGGCTAAGCTTTAGTTGTCGGTCAGTCACTTGAAGACCTGATATTTTAGGGTTGGATCTAATGGCATTAGCCAATGGTTCGATGGCCAGCGCAAAAAGCAGTGGTGATATGGGGAATCCTTGGCATGTGCCTCTGGAAAGTGTAATGCTCGTTGAAATTGTGCCGTTGGTTTGGATTCTAGTGGTAGGTGCTTCATATATGGTTGATATCATGTTTAGGAACTTGGGGCCAAAGTTCATGTGCATTAGCAAGGCTTTGAGATAGGATGTTTCAACTCTATCGAAGGCCTTCTCGAAGTCAAGTACAAAAGAGGGTTTGATTTTATGTTGCTTACAGTATTGAATCGCATCCAAGATTTTTTGGGTGTTATCCGTTATTTCTCTATTGGGTATGAACCCAGTTTGGTCGGTGTGGATGTAATCTTCGATGATCTTATTTAGACGGTGAGCCATTGTCGCAGTGAAGATTTTGTAATCCTGATTTACTAGCGAGATGGGTCTGTAGGAACTGGTAAGTGTCCCATCTCTATCAGGTTTAGGAATTAAAATGAAGTTTGCTGAGTTCCACGATGGAGGCATAATTCCATGTGTTAGTACTTGATTGCAGGTCATAGTCAAGGGTTCAACTAATGATGTAGCAAATTTCTTAAAGAATTCTGCCGTGAACCAATCATTACCTGGTGACGTATTGTTTTTTTAATTTTTCTTCCTGGGTGATAGGTTCTTCTAACCATTTTTTGTGTTGAGATGAAAGGCTTGATTGGAGAGGAAATTGTTTTAGAAATGCCTTCATTGAGTCTTTCGTAGGTGTATCAGATTGATAAAGTGAAGAATAATAATCTAGAAAGGCCTCCGATATTTCCTTAGAGGTATAAAGCAATTGTCCATTTTTGTTCTTAACCGCATGTATAGCATTCTCAGTAGTTCTTTTCTTGTATTTCCAAGCGAGTAATTTAATTGATTGAGGCGATTTAAACCAGTACTTCTGTTTTATGTATGCAATCCGTTTCTGGATTTGTGATACTTCTATAGTTTCTAATTTTTTTCATACTAGAAGTAATGATTTGTAGGTACGTTTATTCCCATATTTGCTGCATTCTATTTCTAGGTTTTTTAGCTTTTGTTTTTCTTTCCTATAGGTAGAAGCAATTGCAACCAATTTGCCTCGGACCACCGCTTTTAAAGAGTCCCATACGATGTGTTGCGAGACTCCACAGCTGGCACTGAGCTTCAGATATTCTTTGATGCCTTTATCTATTGTGTCTGTTATTGATTGTAGAAATAAAAATTTTGAGTCTAGTCTCCAATTTTAGTCTCTTCTGCTTTCGTCCCTATCATCCATCACAGCTTCCACCCAGGAGTGATCTGACCATATACGTGCACCAATACTAGCTTCTGTGATATAGATGTTGAAGCTAAAATATAGTCTATTCTGGTATGTGTTTGGTATCTGGGGGGAAGTATGTGAAGTCTTTGACCGTTGGATTCTTGAGTCTCCAAACATCCACCAGATTAAATTGTTGAAGAACGTTATATAGTTCTGTGTTGCCAGATGAAGAAGAGTATGGGCATCATTTTTTCTGTTTCTTTGATAAGATAGATTTGTCTAAAAGTTGGCTTAGGATGTAGTTTATATCACCGCCTATCACACATGGGTCAGTGCTGAAGGCTGCTAGCTTAAAAAGAGTATTACGTATGAATTCAACTTGACCGTTATTTGGCACATATAAAGAGACTAGCGTTATTGCGTGACCATTCAAAGCGCCATTTAAAAACAAATATCTACCAGAGGGGTCGCGTTCTGCTTTTAAAAGTTGGAATCTCAATTATTTATGTAATAAAATCGCAACACCCCTGGACTTAGATGTGCCCTGTGCCTGATATTGTTGTGAAAATTTCTGGGATGTGAATACTGTATCCTGTTTTCCTTTGAGATGTGTCTCTTGCAGAAATATAATATTGGCATTTTGCCGTAATAAAGCTGAGAGCACCCTTTTCTTCTTGACAGGTGAGTTAAGACCTCTACAATTAAAAGAGAGGTATTTAATTTGTTGCTTAGGCATCATTGTTGGATAAATAAAAAAGGCAGTTATTGGATATAGTCAAAGTGCTGCCACTCATGTTAAAAGTATACAATCCAGAGCAAAGAATGTTCTCCTGAGAAAATCCGTCTAAAGTAATTGTATCCATAAACCTCTTAAGTATCATTAGATTTATCATGCTGTGTACCTTTAAACCGCTATCAGAGCATGAGTGTGTGCTGTACCCTGCGTCATCAGTTACCCTTTCAAACATTGACATTATACAAACCAAAACAAACAACATTGCAAAAATTGTTATGGACCCTGTCTTCCCTTCCCTTCAGGGAATAAACTATGTAAAACACAATGTTTTATGAAGTGATTAAGGTTACTAGAGGACTAGACAGAAGCCCCCTTCTTTTCCCCCTATTGATTAAAATAATAAGATATTATTAAATATGCAACCTTATAGATTCAAACTTTAGATTTATAAACAATATTCCTATTTCCTATTGCTTTACTAGCAAACAATATATTCAAAGTTAAGTCTTGGGTTACTTCAATTTCTTGAAATGTTTCATTATGTGTTATAACAGATTCTTTAAGGATGATGCTAAGATATTAAACATATATATAACAGTGGTTATATGAACTTCCAACAATACCACTCAATGTTGTATTATGGTCTAAAAATAAACAAGAAATATTCCCGCTTAAAAACTCTATATAAGTAGAATAGGCTAGCTTTATCTTACTTATAAGCAAAAATTACTTGTCTTTTGGCAACATGCCACTAGGTGGTGCTCTAATAAAAATAAACCATAGAGCATAGCATACAGTGAAATATAGCTATTAGATTCAAACAATTTATATATACTTAAACAATGGTACAGTTCACTATTTTGTACAAGTATATATCATAAAAAAGTGATTTATAAGTAGATTCTTAGTCCTATAGTTGTATGTAGCTTATGGTTTTAATTGTGTAGCCTTATTAATACGGATTGCAAAAGGCTTATGTTTTTAAATATAAAAATGTAGCAAGTTATTTTTTGATACTGCAGGCCTCCACAGCTAATTTCATAACGACCTAAAAGATCTTAAATCTTGATATAATTTTTAGAACCTTTCACATGCAATCTGTGGAGTTCAACAGTAGTATTTGTTGGAGAGCTTAACATTAAACAGAAGCTTACCACTATATGCTGAAGATGACATCATTTTTAGTATTAACGAAACAAAAATGCAAGTACTTGAGATAAAAAGGCAAAACCCAAACATTAACTTTAGACTCTTAACTATTAAAACTGCTTTATATTTAGTTGGATACTTTCCAAAAGTACGCTGGGATTCATGGGTTCTGTGGTCTCCTGTTTCTTCTTTGATTGTATGCCATCTTGAAGTAGTCTTGTCTAAGGGCTACGAAGAAATGTCTGGCTGAAAGTCTTGCGGTGGTCGCAGCTGAAGATCTTGTAAGAGTTTTAAACCTGAGTCTAAATCTGTGGCGTGAAGAACAGTCCCGTGCGCAGACACCTGTAGTTTGCAATATGCGATCTATTTGTAGTTGATTTTCGCCTCAGCCAGAGTTTGCAAGATCAGTTTCAGTGCTTTCCGTCTCTGTAAAGTCTCGGCAGATAAGTCCTGAAACACTTGGATTTTATTGTTCTGCATCTGCAGTGTGCCTTTGCTCCTTGCCACAGAAAGAATTTTGGTTTTAGTTCGGGAGTCCATGAATTTAACCACCACGTCTCTGGGGAAGTTGCTTTGCCTTTTGCTCTTAAAGAACCAACGCGGTATGCTGTGTCCATCAAGGGAGCGACTCCCTCTCCCAGCTCCATTATTCCTGCTAGCCACGTAGCAATAAAAGATTTTAAATCTGCTGCTTGTACCGCGTCCTCTGGAATTCCGCGAAATTTTATATTGTTGGCTTTTAGTTGATTTTCCAAGGCTATGGTTTTTTCCGATGCCCATTCTTCCTTTTTATAAAAATAGTAAGCATCATCTTGTAATGTTAGGCAAGACTAGAGATGTGAAGGCCCAGAAAAAAGGCAAGACTCCATTGCTGAGTCAGCTGTCTTCGCAACTAGGGCCATATTTTGATTCAATTTGTTTATTTGGGCAGTCATCGGTTTTAAAAGTTCTGTTATTGTAAAAGTCATATTTTTCTCTAGGGCCTGAATCATTTTATGGAATTCTTGGTGCGAGACAGTCAGCCCTTCCTGGTTATGCGTTCCTGAGTCTGCCGCCATTTTAGGAGCTGTTTCAGGAATTGTTATGCTGGGCCCGTTCTTGGTGTTACGAGTGAAATAAGAAGTTACTGGCGTACTTACAGGGCTGGATTTCTTGTTTTTCGTTTTGGAGTTTTTTCCCATATCTTTGGGGTGTTTTCGGATGCGGAATATTGTGTTAGCTGGTATTAAGGGGGAAAATCGTCAGAAGCTAGCTGATCAGGCGTCCATTGTGCTCCACTCCGATGCCACGCCCCCATTTTTAACTGTCTTATGGGGGTTCCTCAATCTTATTAAACTTGCAGGCATACTTGGAATTCTGAGAAAGGATACCGGCCTATTTCCAGCCTAAAGAGCCTGATCAGCTCCCTCACTGGAGGAAAAGCCAGGTACATTGGAGAAAGGCTTCATCCTTTACTCAGTGAAGCAGTGGCTGCCATGGGGACCACTGTTCCCTCTAAGCTGAGTTGGTGTGAGCTAGCTCACAGTTCTTTAGCCTCCAGCTCACACATTTTTGTCTTAGCTCAGGAAGGATGGCTCCAGAGCAAGCTAACCTATGCGGTAGCCAGATCACATGCTCACAACTTTACTGCCAGTGGCTCACAAAGTAGAATTTTTGTTCACAAGACTCCACAGCTTAGAGGGAGCATTGATGGGGACTGGAGCCAACCAAAGCATGCTGGGAAATTCCAAACCAAAAGACTTCCTATGATGGCCGAACCGGCTTCTGAATGGGCGGGCCTGCCTGCAGATGCATAGGTGATGCCTCCTAGGCTCCTTCTAAAGTACCTTCCACTCCAAAGCTGGGATCAGCTCTTTGCTTCAGGGAAAAGATGCTGCTTGGTTCCCATGGCAGCGTTTGCTCCCTGTACAGGTGCAGAAACAGGTTGCCCAGTAGGGTTACCAACTCTGGGTTCAGAAATTACTAGAGATCCGGGCGTGGAGCCTGGCAAGGCAGGGTATGATGCCATGGAGCCCAGCCTCCAAACTTGTCATTTCCTCCAGGGGAACTAACCTTTGTAGCCTGGAGGTCAGACATAATTCCAGATCTCCAAGCCCAACCTGGAGGCTGGCAACCCTATTGCCAAGCTCAGAGCCCTAACAGAGTCTGTGCCTACAGCAAAGCTGCAGGTGCACAGTTGTAAGCGCACTTGCCTGGGGTGGGAGGGAACACAGAGCTCTAAAAATTGAAATTATTGAATGGTGTTGTGTGTGGAATAGCCAGGATATCCCCAGGGGGATAGTTTGGCTGCTGAAACTATAGGCCTTTTTGGACACCACGCAAGCGGCGAGAGGTAGGCTTATTTTTAAGTGCTGTGACTTGCCTAAAGTGCTGTGAGAGTACTGTGAGTTTGCTTCAGGGGAATTGATCTCTGCAGTCTGTAGATCAACTGTAATTGCATGCCATCTCCAGGCTCCATCTGGAGTACGGCAATCCTATATGTCACACCCCTCCTCCCTAGTTCCAAACAGAGAAGGAGGAAGGAAACTGCAAGTAATATAAGAGGTATATGGAGATCACGAGGCACTCTCACGGAGCATGCCTAAACAGAGGTATACACCTAAGGTTGCCAACAGGTATGGAGAAAAACTGTCCTTTTAGACAGCTGCTTAAAAGGATGAATTTATTCACCTTCATGCCATAAAAAGCTTCAATGTTTCAATGGACAGGACATTGTTCCTCTGGCCAGCTCAGAACTCAAGCTATAACCCTTGTATCCCCATTTAGTTGGATTGAGAACGATGGAATTATGTTCCCAGCTGGATAAGTAATGTTGACTTCTGTGCTGATCTTTTCACTGCAGCAACAGTCTGCAGAAATCACATATTCCAAGAGATACTGAATACTAAAGTAAAGCCATTACCTTGTAATCTGCAGCAGCTTCTTCTGTGTGAACGACTGCGTGACCTCGGTGAGTTTTGGATCTATCACAGACCTGGCAAATGAGGGTCTCATCAGTTTTGCAGAAGAGCGT